AGCGGGTGGGGGGGGGGAGAGGATATGAGCGTGTGAGTCGATGCTGCAGGATAACGGAACGCCGTCGCTCCACTCGCCTTTGTCTGCTTCAGCCGGAGAGACGAGCCACTGCCTGCCTCGTTAGAGGAGCCACTGGGTCCTAAAGGCAACCAATAGCGGACCCGCCCACTGTGGAGAGAGTCTAGGTGCCAGTCAGTGTGGGCTGGGGTGGGGCTGACATCACTCACCAAAGGTAACCTGTACGAATTAATGGACATGATTTGGATGAAAGAGCCTGGCAGAGATATCATGATATATCATATGTCGGCACTTCTGCTTTGTGTCGTGACGTGAACGTGCATTTCTCTCCCTAGAAGTTTCTGATTTCACCTCCTGGTTTTATTTCTCATCAGTCACACTGAGGCTATTTGTGTGTCCATGCAAACACCTGAGTCAAAATCATCACGAGTGTGTCTCTTTGAGACAAACCGCAGTTTGATGCTGATGCTCTTTGTTGGTAGAAGATAAAAGCTTGACTTCCTCTTCTGGTTCCATTAAAGGAGTATTTCAGTGTCATGCATCCATATAGTCAGTATTCTGACTCTGAAAGGCTATGATGAAGATCAGCAATTAAAAAAACCTCAAGACTATTCACATTCATGTGGCACATTTTCAGCCTACTTTTTGTCACTTTCGACAGGACATTTGCACTGTAGTCTGATCATATTTCTCACAGCCTCAAAGAAAAGTAATTGCAATTGAGTCTTGAATTTTACTTTTTAAGGAGTCATGCTACATGCTTGCAAAATAGATGGTGGTGGGACTGGCACCCCATCCCCAATGAAACAGGTGTTTGTGGGTAATTTTGCATGAAGTAATATTTGCAGGGGAAGGGGACTTGAGTCACATGACTTGACACACCTGGCCAATATAGCAAATTCAGATTCTGATTTTGAAGTTATGTTTTGTTTCTGAAACACAATTAGGTGATTTCTAGTGCACTGCGCACAAACCTGACAACTGTGCCAGAATGCAGCAGAGGGCAGCACAGGTCACAGGATGTAGCTGTCATAGCCTAGTCCAAAAATAAAACTTAGATTGAAGGTTTATGTTGTCGACGATGATAGTAAGAAGACAACAGCAGTATGCCATCACTATACATTGTGGAAAGGTGAGACCTATGACCTCCACTGCTCTAAAATTCCTTGCATAAAGTAATCACCTCTGGGCCTCAAAACTGAGCACATAAATGTGTAAGGTTTCATAAAGTCCACCTTTGGCACAGTGCTTGAACGCCACTGAAATAGGAGATGAAAGTGTGGGATTTCACACTGATATATTTTATTTCAATGTACACACACCAACAATCTTGACAAGACATCGTTTTTGATATACTCTGAATGATTGTGATAGTAGTTGTAAGTCATGATTTATTTTTCATTCCTCTGAATCTCAGAATACAAAATTATAATTTTGGACAGCTCAGATTTTCATGCTTTGTAACCTGCATCCTTTATATCTCCCTCTGGTGATATTAGCTTGCAAATCTTGGATTATTTTCTTCATACACCCCGTTACATCTCGTGGATTCAGAAGCTGTTAAAAAGGCCTGTGGATTTACAGTAGAAGAGTAAGGATGACTTAGAGCAGTGGCAAACGTGTTCACAAATTAACTGCTCCACTCTGACACCAAAGACATCACTGGGCTTTAAATGAGACAACCGATAGATAACAGGTCTCTGTTGTTAAAGAGCCAACAAAAGGAGTTGACTCTTTTCATAGCAGGCTGTGCTCTCTTTCTCATCTATTCCTCTCCCCTCAGGCAGAAAAGCTTCACTTTAAAACGCAGCTGTTGTCACATGCTGGAGCCTCTCCTTTGCATGTCACACATAACTTTAAGTCACTGTGACCACTGGCTGCTCCGCGCCTCCCTCAGCAAGATTCCCAAAAAGCTCAACGCAGAAGATAGTTTATTAGTTCGGGGGCATTTGGATACTTGGTTGAGTTGGGAGCTGTGCCACTTTTATCCAGTGTCTCCTGCCAAATCTGAACAAATGTGCTCATTTAATTCCATGCTCAGCTATGAGATTATGAATCATAAAACCCTTGGTGGAATAAATGCAGCCTGTTTTTGACTGTCTAACTTCAATTTTTTAAAGGAATTTCTAATAAATATATAATAATAATTCCCTTCTCACTCCTGCGGGGTGGTATGTGTCTTCCTCGACCTTGGGCCCTCTACCAGAGGCCTGGCAGTTTGAGGGTTCTGCGCAGTATCCTAGCTGTACTTAGCACTGCACTCTTCTGGACAGAGAGCTGTGTTACCAATGTTTGCCCACAAAAACAATGGAAATAAAAACATCCTAACAACAATAAAACGTGAGACTATAAATTACGCTGTATAACAGTGCTAAAATGTAATTCAACTATATGCAAGTGAAGCCTTTCTTGGAATGACAATATAAGTATGTTACCATGTATTATTGTAACATAGGGCTGTCAGATGGAGAGTACAAAAACACACAAGGTGCTGAAATTATTGAAGATGAAGACATAATCTCAACATGCTTTCACATATCATTACTGTGAAAAAGCTCCATACAAACAATTTGATGTTGTTCGATGTTATATGAAATGTACTTACAGATGAGTAGCTTTTAATGCTGACCTGTTTTGATTGAATGAACTACAGTTAAAGCTCTAATATACAGCCTGCAGCTCACAGGATCAAGGTCAGGTCAGATCAGTTGGGGTTTCCAGTGCAACAGACATATGAAAACATTCTATTTAGATATCATATTTGAATTTCAAAACATGTAAAACATAATCAAATATTCATCAACCCAGAATGCAAAACACATAGTGGATATCTTCAGTAAAACAAGTGTGCAGGGTCACATGAACCGCAAGCTGGTGGTCATTGTAATTTCCCTGCGGTGTAATAAACAAATACATTAGATGCATTCAATAGTGCATTTGCCTATTTCTGTACCATTCAAGTGCATGCACAGTTTCTCAGGATAAATCAGCATAAACGCATTTTCAGTTTGCATACTTTGATAAGGTGTCTCTGGATCAGCAAACCAGTGCACACAGCAAAGTACAGTGACAGTTCTGAAAAGAGTGCTGTCGATGTGACTGGGCTGAATGAGGTGAACTGCAGGATAAGCATAAGTGTTTCACAGCTGGTGTCTTGGGGAAACACAAGAGAGGGGTGGGGAATGCAGGCTGGTTAGGGGAGGGGGTCTGGTGGTTATAGTGGGGGGTTGCAGCCATGACGACCGATGGAGGAGGAAGTAAACAGATGTCCACAAGCTGGGAGACATAGGCTTGGAGTGGTTGAGCCACTGAGAGACAGGTGGACATCCAGGAACAGTGGAACTGCACGGCGACTGTGAAAGCCAGCGTGGTTATGCATGTACAGCTCAAATGCTCATAAATAAATTTGGTGAACCTAATAGAAATGAGGCCTGTGTCTTCTTCTCTGTGTGTGTATCTCAATTTGTGAAATGATGGCACCAAATTAAATGTTTTTGTAACTCAAATGTAAATCAAGCGCATAAAATAAAATGTGAGTGTGACTCCATCTGCTGTTGTCCACTACAGTACAGCAAACTAACTACGAAGACGGTCTCATTTTTAGCCAGCTGTTGGATGATTCCCAAAATATAAATGGCCAAACACAATATCATAACTGTCTTCATGGCCCTAACAGCTGTCCTTTTCAGTCCATTGCAAGCTGTGCTCAACAGTGCAACAGTGATCATGATGTAGTGAGAAAGCAGTCGAAGTGAATCCATCACTGTTGTTCCTGGAGCCCACGTCAACATTTTGCAGAGTCATCGCAGAAGCAGCAGTCTTGAGAATAGACTTGAAACTGGAAAGCCACCCATCTAAATCCCCTGACAAGCTGTTAAATCTGAGAGCAGGAAGTGAAGGAGACATGTTGTTGCCTCCCTGAGTACTAACTGTCAACATGACCTTGAATAAGGCTCTTCAGTGCCAGCTGCTCTGAGATGGACACATAAGCTGGAACTGACTTGGAGGATGCAATGAAATACTCACTAAAAGGGAAAAATGCTCACATGTCAGGACAACATTTGAACAGGTGGAACACTCAAGGTGATTCTAATCAACCCCATGTGCTCCGATGCCAGTGATATTCAGGCGACAGCAGCATAAATGTGCTGCCACACGCTGGGAGTAATGTGTTAAACAAGGAGGGACAGTGACGAGCTAAACAAGCTGCACAGTCCAGAGAGGAAGTGTTGCCATGCTTCTTAATGAACTGCTGGGGGAGGGGGGGGCTGAACATCAGTGTGTAAGTCAATGAACGAATGGATTGTTAATTCATTTATAAAGGAATGGATTTAAATGTTGTGGGTAACATTACTCTGTAGCATGTCATTCAGGTCACAGTCATTTTTTACACACAGACCTTTTTTCTTACTCGTGCTTCCGGGGTGTCGTGTCATTTGGATGGTGCTCAGGACTGAAATATCTTGTCAACCATACGATGGATTGCCATGAGATGTTCTGCAGATGGAGCCGAATGACCTCACTTTTTATCTAGTGCCCCCAGCAGGCCACAGATTGAACTTATTCTGTAAAGTGCCTCAGCATCTATAAGTTGGACTGGCACAAAATGCTGTATATTCGTGGTTCTCAGAGGATTGATCTTGACAGGCTGACATTTTTGCCATGGAATTTGGCCATGACATCCTTATTCCCCTGAGCATAAATCATAATGGTGACCACAATGTTTCTTCTAGCGCAATCACTCACAGAAATGTCCATAAGCCTCTTCTGTACTTCACATTAGCGCTAATTAGTAGTTGTTAGCATGACAACAAGGCAAACTAACACCTGCTAAACATCAGCATGTCAGCATTGTCTTTGTGACATGCAGCATGATGATTTTAGCACAGCCACTAGCATGGCTGTAGATGCTCGTCTTATTTTGCCTAAAATGAAAAGAGCCATATAAATCTTAATGTTTGGTGATATGTCATTTACCTTTATAAAAATATGAGCCGGTATTTTATTTTATCATTAATGTTATGGAAACATAATGTAACTGGTTACTCTGTGATTCTGTGATATACTGTACAGTAAAGGTTTGAGAAAGTAATCAAGTTCAGTATTTTGAAGAGTGACATTCCGCAACACAAAGAAAGAATAAATAAATGAATGAGAGTATGTGGGTTCACTGTTTTGATCCATGAGAGTCTCTACATGTTAAACTGATTCAGATACATCAGCCGACACAGTCTGACCACAGCATGACTCACGTTGGTGTTACAGTAAAGACAGTGATGAACAGCACAGACCTCTGCAGCAGCATCATTATTAAACAAGGCCTCATCAGTTGCCATGCCACCTTATTCATAGCTGAAAAATCCTTGAAAGGTTTATTCTGAGCCTAATCAGATCCAGGAAGACCAAGATGAGTGAAAGAGGATGAGGTCATGTGGTGAGTAGTTTGTGAAGAGGCTTCCTACCTCCTCAGCAACATAAACTTTATTATCATCAGTTAAACTTAAGCTGAATCACAGTTATGTGTCATCGTCATGAGTGTTCACTTGCTCTACTCCTTCCCCAACATGCTCCATCATCTTTATCGCAGAGAGAACGCATTGACCATCCAGTGTGACAGTACCTGTGTTGGCATGTGAGAGTCGGAATAACAGCACCTGAATAGTTAAAACATGGTGGATGAAACGAAATGGGCTTGTATGTTGGTAGCTCAGCCGATAGGATAGAAAGGATCCAGAAAAGTAAAACATGACCTGGATTTTTTTTTTGTGCTCTTTCAAATCACCCTAGAGGGAGGCACTAGTGTGTTGCCTCAAGTAGCTTTGTCTGCTCTGCAGATTTTCTAATGAGGGGCTTTTGGAGAAGGATGACAGGGCACTCTGCCTGTTCTGTCGGGGAGGAGGGGCATTTAAAGGAAATGACTGCTGCTCTGTCCATGGATACGCCTAATACTAGATCCCCCCTACTCAGATGTCCTGCTGGCAGCTTGGCAGTACTATTAAGCCAGGGAAGGGTGGCATTACTCTAAAACTCTCATCATGTCATATTCACTGAAAACCTGTAATCTAGCCACTGAAACGATAGGGGTAGAATTACACCAAGCTGGGTAAGAGGGCAGCAGAGGTGTAATTCAAAGTACTAAAATCAGTTTTGTTTGTTCTTACACTGAATACCTTTATTTAGAAAGCATGTGCTATGCTCAGAATAACCGCTTAAAGTAATCTGTGTTTTCATGTCAATCAGTTTCTTTGTTCCCATCTTCCTTTCTGGTTGCTATAACACAACACAAATGTTCAGTCAGGACAGACATTCCCACCAAATCAGAAGGTTTTTAAACAGCAGCAGCAACTGTACAGCAATATAACTAATGGGATTTTTAGGCCATTGCTTTACCTGAGACAAAAGGAGATGGATACCCTGACATATCAGAACACATTCACTGGTTGGCCTTCTCATTGTCATGTTATTGTTGTGAGACATAATAGTTGGTCAATAAATTATGTCCTCTTTTCATTTTAACATAGGTTTCTCAAGTTGATAGTACTGGAAGTATTATCATCTGCACTGAGTATAGAAGATATATTTGCTGTTGTGCTGTTCTTCATTTGTGGTATGCCACACAGTTGTGGGTGTAGCGTGGATGACCATTTCAACACAGGAGTGAAAATGTTTTGAAACACTGAAAAGTTTGTGACATGGATTGTATTAGAAAAGAAACCTAAACATCTGGAATGTCATGAAGGCTGGACATAAGTGATGAGCAGAGCACATTTAAGACTGTGTCACTGCTTCTACAGTTTCTCTAAAGCACACAACAGTAAAACATTCTAAATAAAATGATAATTCAGTTAATTCCTGCACTTATTTGGTTCACCACAAGACAGAAATATTTGACATATAGTCTGAGCAACCTGCTACAATTTATACTTGTCATTTCATTTGGGGGATTTATGGGGTGTTTTTAAATTCTGTAACTGTAAGTACACGATATTAAACTCCACATGTTTGAGCATGGATCAAAGAGTTATTTCACAAAGGAGGTATAAATATCCATGAACTCCGTCTACACACTGAATGTGTGAAGAAGCCAAAACAGGATTAATGGGAAACGGCAGCTAACGAGCTAAAAGGCAGTTCTATTGTTACAGTGTCACAACAAGCTCTGGGTGTTTCATGTCCTCTGTGGTCAGTATGCCAATATAAATCCTTCTACTCATCCTATTACAGACCAAATGTTATCTATTTCTATAATTACACAAATGGTGTGATAGCAGATGTTTTATGGGCATTAGTAACAAAATGTAACATGCTTGCCATCTGCTGGAACATTACCACATTACAGTTTTTAGACCAGGACCCTGTAAGGACAGTTCACAATGTGCTATGAGTTACTCACCACCCACAGAGTTTAAAAAGACAAAGCACAAAGCCAATACATTAGTATCGTTAGCAATGAGTAAGTCATTTTATGTCAAAAAAAGAGTGGACTGGTCCTTTAATACCACATTGTATTATTATTTAATTCTGCAAAATGTGGGGTACTAAAGGTAATGCACATATGTACTATGATAGATTAAGTCTTCATTTCATACTTCCTCTATATTCACTATATAATCTGTGTGCTGTGTTTAGGTGTGGTTTGATTCACTGTCACTCCTGTTTTGTTTCATATTACAGTATATATGATAAGTAATGTGACTTTCTGTATTTAAATGTTCTGGCCTAATAAATCTATAAGTGTGTGTGGAGAGCTCTGTTGAATTTCTGTTTCTTAAAAAGACTGTAAAACTTTAACTTGCTGACCCTCTAAAAACATCCTGCTACCTCCACAGAGCATCGTTTCCTAAGACGGCTTTCAAAATAAAAGCACTAAACTTGACAATGAAGCTTGGTTGCAGGACTGTTGTTTTGTACTGAGCCTAAGTACTTTACAGTAAATGACAGTTGCATTAAAAGTAGTTTTGTTCTATTAGTTGTAGATTTTCACATTGCTGGCTTTTGTAGTCCTCTAAAAAAGAGACATCAGCTCATACAGATGGTTGACAAATTAAAGGAAAAACCTGAATAAATGAGTGCTTTCTTCCAAGATAGCAGTATCCCCCATCCATAGGGCACAAGAGGTTTGATGACTATGACTATGATGTGAATCACATGCTGTGGCCTCCACAGTCACCAGATCTCAACCCAGTTGAACACCTATGGAAGATTTTGTGTTAGACAGCTTCTCCACCACCATCAACACAACACCAAATGATGAAATATATATTGCAAGAATTGTGTTCATCCCTCCTGTAGAGCTCAGAGACTTGTAGGATCAGTGCCAGGGTGCACTGATGCTGTTCTGGTGGCACATGGTGGTCAAACACCTTACTAAGACACTTTATGTTGGGCTTCCCTTTGACTTGTCACTTGTCTGAATTTGTCCACTGAAATTATGGCCAGCAGATATAACTTGACTGGGTTTAAAGAACAGTTTTTATTGATTAGAATGATATTTAGTGGCTCTTTGCTTTTTCTCATTATATTATATTATATTATATTATATTATATTATATTATATTATATTATATTATATCATATCATACTATATTATATTACTTTACTTTACTATACTATATTATATCATATCATATTACGGACAAGGATTAAACCCAGCTATTTTGAAGGCCCGATCTAACCGGATGTCTCCCGCTAAACGTTCCCAGCTGGACGCACACAGAAGCATCGAGGGCTATGGTGGGAGAAGACGCACTCGGACCTCCAGCGACTCCATTCCACAGTGACCGAGCTGCAGCGGTGTATCTAGTCAGGAGAAGATGTCTGTGAATGAGGTGTATGTGTTCCGACCCTTCAAGCTGATCGCTCTGCTGTGCGTCTTCCTGGCGCTGTGCCTGGACGTGGTGGCTCTGCTGAGTCCAGCCTGGGTCACTGCGGAGCATTTCTCCCTGTCTCTGTGGGAGTCCTGCTCCCTTTCCGAGGCACGGCTCCCGACAGAGGAGGCTCGCTGGAGCTGCTTCTCCACCCTCACATCTGGTAGGAAAGCGTGTTTGTTCTTGTTCCCTATTGTTTTCACACTATGTTGTTGTTTATAACTTTTTGTTTTTGGGGGTTCGGGATGTTATTCGTTGGAGAACAGGCTACAGTGGCATTATAGATCTCGTCATTCTTCTACAGTGCAGGATGATGCTGAAAAACGGTGCTAGTGTAGAAAGCTGCGATTTCAAGGTTGTAGAACGGTCGTAATTTTGCCTGTTTTGGGAGAAAACACAGATTTAGCCAATTATAGCAGAGCATAATAACATACGATGCTTAACGCGCTGGTAAATAAGTCTGGAAGCTGTGGAAACGGGTTTACACCATCAGTGGCTTGTTCTAAGGGTCCGTTATTAGGCTACACACAGGCCGCATAAATAAATCATCTACTGAACTGTACAAAACATCAGAATGACATCATCTCCCCCCGTAGAGTTTGTTTTACTTGGCTTGTTGTTCTCTGTCCAGCAGCTGAATGAGACATTCAGGATCAGTTTCCTCTGTTCATACCAGAGCAGTGACGTGGTGTCACACTGGGATGCTCAGCTCAGCTGATTTGGAAACAACTATAGCTGCGTTTTCAGTGTTGCTGTAAATGATCAATCACTTAATAAAACTGTGTCGTCTTAATGAGTTGTACTGATGCCTGAACACTCTTAGGCCAATTCGGTGCCAGTTTGCATGTGTAGGATAAGAAACAGCTGAAAATAATGATCACATGTTGTAGAAACATAAACACAATCCCTCTGGTACCCACTCCGACCACAAGAGGAATGTGAGCATGTGTGAAGAGGCATCTTCCCCATCACCCACCTCAGCAGGCCTGGGCCCACCAGGTTGCCTTTTTTCAAGCAGAGGAGCCACATGACAGAGTGTTAACGCCCCCAATCCCCCCCAACCCCAAAATAGTAATAAAGAAGAATAAATGTTATAGTTCTGGCATAATTGGTTGCCAAATCTTTGTGAAATATTTGAGATTTTACTGGGCCTTAGTGATGTTCACCCCCATCCCAGACACAAACGTTCACAGCTACAAAGAGGGAAACAGGCTTTGTGTGAAGCACCCCTCTCTGATATTGTGGAATGTGTTGGAATGAATAGGAGGCGGGTTTGTGGCTTTAAGTGTCTGCAGAGCTCGTTAAAGCAGCAGTAGAGGGGTGTATGGAGGTTAAAGGTGCAGTTCACCAAAAGGCAAAGCAGACTTATTTTGTGCATGTTCTCCATTTTTAAATTTCAGTTTATCTTTGGTGTGATATAATCTGGAAGACACGGCTCAAAACTGGATACATGTGTATTGCAGGTGACTGAAAAGGTAGAATTAAAATAGAATACAGTATTATGACTTAACGCCTCGGTGAGCGATAGAAAACTAAACTAGTGATGTGAGCACACTGTTTAATATTCTGAGGTTTTTTTTTTCTTTCTTTTTTTGTGTCAAAACCAAAAGTATGATCACATAATGGACCAGAAATGTCCATTTTCCTGAATGCTGAATGATATCAAGTCAGATGTGTCCCTGGAGAAATGTTTCTTTTCACCATCCTGAAGACAATGAACAGTGGATGAAGCTTAGTAGCTTCATCATATGCTAATTTTTCCCTCTGAGTAGATTTGAGGTTTAGCTTTCTTCTGACAAGTGGAACATCAGAGAGGGAATACACAGTGCAGGCAGAATGAAACATTTTCTTCTGAATACCTTTCTGGTGTCAGATTGTATGAGCACTTTACTGAGCAGAGAGCTGAGCTTGGGTCAAAACCAGCTTTACAATGGGCTCTTTTAAAAACCTAGTGTTGTGTAGGTCTTTTCATGGAAGAATGCTCTGATGCTCTGGAAGTAAGTCATGAGTTTTACTTTTCTGGCAGGAAATAAATAGAATAAATGTGCTGTTAAAAAGCCACCATGACTGAACCCACATGGAAAATACTGGCAGCCACACACAGAACTACATCAACCAAAACCTCCAAGGAAACAGCACCAACCATTTCACTAAAATAGACATAAATAAATGAAATGCAAAAGAAATAATGGCACAAAGTACTTCAAATGTATATATATATGTACAGGGAGAAGGACAGAAATTCATCAGAAAATATGAATTATGTTTATGCATGTGCCAAAATACTGCACATCAAATTTGAACACATGATATTTCAAGGGAAACAGCTGTGGGTTCAGCACCTTCATCTATCAGCTGCAAGGTTTAGCTAAGTAAGTTATGTTTCTTCAAGTTTTAGAAATACAAATTTTAATCTTCTAAATGTATAATTTAGGTAAATGTTGTTACTTGTAGGAGCCTGAGCCCATTCTGCTCTACTCACTTCACTCTGTGGGATGAGGAGCAGTTCATTTCAACAGTACAGTCCTGTGAATCGAGCTTTTGTTTTTAACCTGCATGCATCCCTATCCTGCAGACTGGCAGATTGCCACCCTGGTGCTGCTGGTGGCCGGCGCCGTGGCGACTCTGGTGGCCTTTTTGGTGGCCCTCATTTCCCTGTGCCGGGGCACGCAGAGACAACACTACCGCACTGTGGCCGTGCTCCTCTTCACTGCAGGTACGTCTTTCCATTCCTTACTGTCACTTTCCACGTGCAACTTCTTTAAGCATCAGCTTTTTTACACCCTGTTTGAATATTTAGCCAGAGTTCCAACACATCATGCTCACACACATTTGGAAACTGAGAGACTGTCTATGCGTTCCCCACAACCACACCAATTTCCATATAGACAGCGAGGGGGGGGGTTATGTTCCAGTGCTCACGTTGAATAGAAGGGTGCAAGAAGGAGAGATGTAGCTGAATGAGTCTTGCTGGTTGAGCTCATTCTTTCTGTGGTGGGGAGTCTGGGGAGCTGCCGGCCCGTGGGCCAAGAGACAGCAGCCACAGAATGTGTGGACTTAGCAACAGAGTGAAGTCACTGAGGGAAAAACAGCCACCGTAGCCTCATTGCACAGCACTGCCTCATAGTTGGACTGCACGTCTTCTGCATGCTTTGTGAGAAGGCTTTTCGGTTGAAACCAAATTTTGACACTGGTAAGGGA